AGATTTCCATACTGTCACAAAAAGGGTTGGTCTTAAACTAAATTTTTTAAAAACACAATTTATGACAAATTTAGTCCACAACAAAAACATCTCAGTAGAAGACAAAGATATTGAGCCAGTTGACTCCTATAAATACTTAGGCCATGAGATCAAAATAAGTCGAGACAACCAAACAATCGAGCTGAAAAGAAGAATAAACCTCGCTTGGGCTGCTATTGGAAGGATGAAGGATATTTTTAGGTCTAAAATTCCAATGTGTCTGAAAAGAAAAGTATTTAATCAATGTATTTTGCCAGTGATGACCTACGGCGCAAAAACCCTAACGCTCACAAAAACAACAGTGAGTAAACTACAAGTTGCGGAAAGAGCAGTGGAGAGAATTGTGTTAGGGATTTCTCTACGTGATAGAATACCCAATGCTACTATACGCAAAAGATCAGGAGTAGCAGACGTTATTGAAAGGATAACAACACTAAAGTGGAACTGGGCAGGTCATGTAGCAAGATCAGTTGATGACCGGTGGACAAAAAGAATTTTGGAATGGAGACCCCGAATACAAGCTTACAGAAACAGAGCTCGACCCCCAACGAGATGGACAGATGACATAAAAAGAGTGACTACAAATTGGATTCAGATGGCGCAAAATCGGACTAAGTGGAAAAGCATGCGAGAGGCCTATATTCAGCAGTGGACGTTAGAGGCTAGTTGATGATGATGATGAGTCCATGTCTCGAAAGCGTATTATATTGTGGGTCTAATTAAAGTTTTGTATACTAAAATTCCCCTACCGACCCCTTTCAGAAAATTCTTCATCTTGAAAAGGTACCTACCTCATTTTTTCTACGCCATGATAACTCATGGCTGCTTCCTCTGCTGGTCTGAATATACTACTTCTTTGTCCATCATTATTTTTCACCATCTTCATAATGCTATGGAATTTTTAGCTGTAGAAGCATTCCTTGGTGTTTGAAGTAAATCACTCTCACTTACAGTACTTCCATTAAAAACATGAGTCGTCATTTCTGATTTACTGAAGTTGGCACGAAAATATTTTTAAGATATAGCTGCCACTTTGTTTGCTGTTTGAAGAGACTTTCTTGCTAAACTTCTTTGTTCTTCTAACTGGTGGTTCACCTCTGGAAACATTTTTTCGGATAATTAAGTACTATTTATTAAAAACATTGAATTTCCTTCCTCGAACATATTACTTTCTACTAATTTTTAGGTATCTTTTTTTTTGCTGACAGTTGAAAAGACAGCCGGCTTAAAGGCGAATTTATCCATTTTTTCCACTTAACCCTTATGTATACAAAATATATAGGTATAATTGGAATTCCAAACTTAACCGCCAACTTATAAATAAATGTGTTTATTTATTATATACTAAAAGAAGAAAGACAAAGAAGGACTCCTAGTGATCAAATTAAAGCTCTATTAGAAATGTTAGAAATAAAGAACTAGCACTTAGCACACAATTATTGTGAATTTAAAATTTGGTAATATAAAAAAATATTAAAATGTTAAAATATAATGATAGAGACCACACATAACACTTTAGAGTTCTTAATTTTATTGAGAATGACAGCTTGGGGTTACAGAGCATTTTACGCATATTCATAAAACCAGATCTTGCTATTTCAATTTGTCTTCTAATTTCTTTTGAGTAAATTAGTTGACTATTTAGCTCTCTGCTCAGGTATATAAAGCTTTGGGAACTCTGAAGGGTGATACCATTTATTTGTATGTTTGAAGGTGTAACTTGTTCATGGGGGTTTTAGTGGAATACCAGAATTTTGGTTTTGGAAAAGTTAATGTAAAAGACTTCTAAGACTGTACCCTTGCATTTTATAGCACAAATGGTTTATCTAGTTGACATCTTTACCAATCTTAATATATTTTTTGTCACTTGGAATTCTTCTAGCGTTTCTATTAATTTGTTTCTGTCTTTATAATCAATGAAAAGTATTATAGTTTATTCGTCTTCGGGTTTGGACCGTGTCATTTGTGAGTGACCCAAAAGTGGGTTCATCTCGACGTTTCGCTACAATTGTATGTAGCTTCTTCAGGAGAACAAAAAAGAAAAAAGGAAAGAAAGAAGAAAACAAAGAACAGGAAGATGGGTAGTTAGCAACGGTAACTCAGTTACTCAACGCAACCAGAGGCGAATACTAACTACCAAGATGGGCATTTGGTCACAGTAACTCAACTACTCAACGCAGCCAGAGGTGAAAACCAAATGCCAGGACAGGGATTCACGTCCAACAGCTCAGAACACTAACGCGTCGAGAGGCGGGGAGTGAATCCGACAATTACTCCGCTACCGCTCTATTTATAGTCGCGGTGCCTGTCGTGTCGGGACGTATCGGCACACTTCGTGGCGCGAACGTCAAGAAGCGCGCGCTGGCCAATCATGTGGCTGCATCGTAGTGGCGGGACCGGACGACGGTTCTAGACTGAGATTCCAGATGGGAGACAAGTAGTATCCTTCCTCTCGATTGATATTATGGGGATTTTTTCGGATCTCTAGAGATTCGCGGATTTTCCTGGAATAAAAGAAGGGGCTTTTAGAAATGATATGGGTTTTTTCGAACAATATGGAATGACCGGTTTCTTGGCAGTGTTCTGCAGAACTCCGTCCAACAGAACAGTTCTCCGTAAAAAAAAGGTCTTTGATTTGTGACATGAGCTTTTTTTCCAGAACTTCGATATACTAATGTTGATTCATCATTCCATTCACAATGTAGAGCCTCCCTGTGTCCTTGCTGCTGATCACAGACTATACCATGATCTTGGGAGGGTTCTTTACTGGCTCCACTATGCAATTCATAAGATATTTTTCATCCACTAGCCTTCGGACGAAGGCCGACTTATCCATGAGTATCTCCACTATAGACTTATCGGAGAAACAAACCTGTGAATAAAAAAAGCTAAGATATTTTTTTAGGATAAAAACAGTGGTTATAGGGATTTAAACTTTAGTAGTGACGTTATTGACTTTATTCTAATGCTCAATTGTCCAATTTTGGTGTTTTTGGCCCATTTCAGTCCCTTTTTCATCATAGTGATGGTCAACTTTGGCTTTTTGGCAGAGCGACATGATGTGAAACCTTGCTCAGCAAGCGTTCTGCGGACTGACATGTCAGAAACTGGCATTCCAGTTTCACGAATAAGTTCTGTGAGGATTCTTCTTGGCTTCTTTCTATTGTTTATGAAGATGTCCTTAATTATTCTTTCGTTTTTGGGTGAAGTGACACGCTTTCGACCATATTTTTGGGCACGTTGGTGAGTCCGGGGTTTGTTGGTTTCAATTTTTTTCTTGATATTGCTCACTGTTGCTTGCGCTACTTGGCACTGTTGGTGAGCTATCTCACGTTGGGAAAGCTTTGTATTTAATAAAAGTGTCTTTATCTCCACCATTTTAGACACAGGGATGTCTTTAGCCTTACCCATTATGATTTTCTTTTCAAAAATCGAAATGTTTTGAAAATGTCTTTAAGATTAAAACTGATAGTTTTTTCACTTACAATCACCACTGATACATTAATAAAACATACTACAAAGATCAAACGATACTAATCTTTTAAAAAACAATACAAATTAATTTGTAAACTCCAAGCGCAAATTCACCACAATGTGTATGTTGTCACGTAATTTGACACAAATGTCAGTTCTAGAGCTGTAAACTTCAAAAAAGTACCTAAGGTTATTAGTGACAAAATATATTGGCATACCTTAATCGTATACGAACATATGATTTTATTATAAAATTTTTGAACAAATTTGAAAAACTTAAACTTTTGTGGCTGATCATAATAATTTGATCACCTTTTATATGTAATACAGTCAAACAGTGCTAGAAAAATAGTTTTTAAACAATATCTGAATAAAAATTCCAAAACAAACTAATAAATAATTTTATATTTTGTTCTATTTTTCATTGCGAACAATGTTGTTACAAAATCTGCTAGGTAAGATAAATAAAAAATTCGTATAAATTACAAAATACTGTAAAATTTACAACAGATTGCTAAAATAAATTTATTTATCGTCACAATTAATCTCGTGTACGCATGTAACAATTTGGAACTTTTAAAATTTGTCTGCGGATTCTTTTTTGTCGCAATATTTCGGATTTTTATTATCTGTTTTTAAATTGTTGTATAAATAACGCTTTCGCTGTGCATATTTTTAACAAATGTCGTATTTAAATTAAAATTTAAATACGGATTTATATAAAAGCACAGGTTAACTCAAAAAATAACAAAAATATTATAACTGTAACTTTCGTGTTGATTGATAATACGGTTTGTTAGGTTTGTTTTAACTGAAACTTTGTATCAAAAATAAAGCCAAAATAATGATACGATAAAATAAACTAAATTAGCACAAAAATTACAACAAAGCTTCCAAATTGTGAAAATTTATGTTGAAAATCATGGTTCTGTCGAAATACTTATCGAGCACTTCGTCTATTTTATGGTCAACATAATCGTCTATCAACTAGCAATTAATTCAATTAACCATCGAATGTTTTTGCATCACGTTTACCCTAATTAATAATACGCATCCACAGAAACATACTACAGTGCGTACAGAAAAAGTTGTTGCTGATGCAGAGCGTAACATAGAGGAAGCATTTATCAAAGATTTTACGGAAAGATCTTGGTTTGTCTGCTTACAAAATCCATCTCGTGCAAGAATTGAAGCTAAACTATCACCATTATCATCAGCTCGACAACCTTTTCTGGTTCTGGCTTGTTCTAGGATTTTCCTCCATTCTGTTCTGTTCGTTGCTTTGTTTTTCGAGTTGGTAATCTTAAGTGTTTTCAGATCTTGTTCCACTTGTTCCATGTACCTAAGTTTGGGTCTTCCCTTTGACCTTCTCCTACTGGTGTTTGCCTCATTATATTTTTTGGTGTTTCAGTCTCCAACATTCGTTCAACATGGCCCATCCAGCGCAGACGTCCGATCTTTATTCATTTTATGATCTTGTTCATTGTATGCTGTGTATAGTTTAAAATTATATCTTCTGCGTTATATGTCATTTTCTTTTACCTTCTTGTATATGTATCTAAGGAATTTTCATTCAAACGTACCTAATAGGTTCTCATCACTTTTCGACAGTGTCCATGTCCCTGATTCATATATAAGGACCGGTTTTATCAGGGTTTTGATTTTGCATTTGGTTTTTCTTGTGATGTTGTTAGATCTTAGATGTCTAATTAGTCCAATATATGTTTTATTAGCAATATGTATTCTTCTCTAGCAATATAAATACAAAAGATGACGCAGACAAAAACTGATACAATGAAATGAAGAAGAAAACTAGAAAGATAATTATGACCTCCAAAAACGAGACATGGGACAGAAGGTGCAGAGAGATATAATCTTATATTGGAGGACGACAATGCACTGAGATGTGGAAGTTTATAAACTCTGTTAAGAAGCCGACTAACGAGAAAGTGATTCTAAATCCATAAATCCCGAGGATTGGACACATTATTATAAACATCTATTAACTGAGACCAGAGACGAATTTAAAGAAGATATGAATTCATCAAGGATCGAAATTCTGGGAGAGCATATTACCATAGATATCAACATAGTTCAAAAAGCTATAGCAGGGATGAAGAATGGGAAAGCAAGTGGACCAGAGGGAGTAACTATGGAATTAATAAAGAATGGCTTAAAGAAATTACACAGAATGATCACCGTGATATTTAACGAATATATTAATGGACATCCAACACCAGATGAATGGAAAACAGCATATATGACCCCAATATATAAAAAAAGGTGACAGGAGAAATTGTAAAAACTATAGAGGGATATCGGTCACAAGTTCAATGAGTCAACTATACAATCGAATAATACGGGACCTGATAGAGGAAGATTATCAATCGTCTGAAGACGAAGAACAAGGATGATTTAGAGCAGGTCGTTCATGTACAGATAACATCTTCTGTCTTAAACAAATTATAGAACAGAAAATTGTGACAAATAGAGAGTTACATATGACTTTTGTAGATCTTGAGAAGGCATATGACACAGTCCCGCTAAATAAACTATGGGAAGCCCTGGGCACATCAAACATACATCAAACATTGGTTAGTGCTCTCAAAGATCTATATTATGGTTCAAACTACCAAATGAAATTCGAAAACCTCTTAGCTAAAAAATTTGCAGTTACTAAGGGTCTCAGACAAGGATGTTGTATCTCTCCGACTCTATTTAAGATTTATATCTCTGCAGCTCTGAAACAATGGAAAAGGAAAGTCAAAGGAATGGGTATATAATTGAACGATCAGGATTACATATATACTTTACAGTTTGCAGATGATCAGGTGGTGATCTCAAATGACAAAGACGACATGCTTAGAAAATAAATTGAAAATACCAGAAATGGGGATTAAACATCAATTTAGAAAAAAAATACCTCTTAATTGGAATTGAAGCAGAACAACTCGATATCGATGACAATTAAAAAATAAATCCATGTGACGAATATAAATACCTGGGCGTCATCTTCGACCGTAGTGAAAAAGACGAACGAGAAATATAACATCGAATTGTACAAGCAAGAAGAGCTATAGCATGTTTGATCAGAGTTCTATGGAGTAAAGAAATATCAAAGAAAAGAAAATGGAACATCTATGAGACAATGGTTAAATTAGACCTACTTTATGGATCTGAGACATGGAGAATAACCAAGAAATATAAGAAAAAGGTCGAAGCCACGGAAATGGATGCCATCAGAAGATCGATGAGAATATCAAGAACTGACAGAATACGGAATGAAGTGATAAAACAACAAATGGGTATAGAGGGCACTATAGTTGACGATATTGTGAGAAAACAGCTCATATGGTATGGGCATGTGAACCGAATGGGAGACGAAAGATTGCCTAAAAAAACGATGATGTGGCAACCCCAGAGAAGAGGAAAGAGGAAGACCACCACAGAGCTGGAACCTGCGAGTCAGGAAAGCGATTAGCGCTCGAAATCTGGACGAAGACCTAACTCAAGACAGAATACAGTGGCGTTTGGGAGTCGAACAACGTCGTAAGACGTTATAAAACCAAATAGATATATTATATATATATATATAGATATATATAGATATATATATATATATATATATATATATATATATATATATATTCTTCTTTTAATTTCTTCAATGACATTGTTATCTGCGGTAACTAGTGAACCTAGATATGTAAAATTTTTCACACTTTCGATGTTATAGTCTCCTACTGTCAGATTGTGTAGGTTTTTTTGGCCTATCGATTTGCTGGCCTTGATGTATTTGGTTTTTATTTCATTAATCTTTAGGCAACTGTTTTGTGTCGCTCTTTCTATCGCATTAAATGCTTCTATCATCTCTCTTTCGCTTCTATGATATTCTATGATATGATATTTCGCTATGATATTAACATCATCTTTGTATACTGATAATTTGTACACTTTTTGTTATTATTGTTCCTTGGGTGAAGACTTGGGACTCTACTCTAAGTGTTTTTTTTACTATATCAACGAGTTGAGTTGGAATATTAAACTCTTTCAATGCGTGGATCAGAAATTCTCGATTAATGCTGTCATGAACACTCTCAAAATCAAGGAAAAAATGTTGTGTGTTTATATTAAATTCACTAGTCTTTTCCAAGATTTGCCTCAAGACAAAGATCTGATGTAGTGTGGACTTCTGCCTGCAAAAACTACATTGATATTCCCCAACTATTTGTTCTGTATATGGTCTAAATCGGTCATACACAATATTTGACAGTATATTATATGCAACAGTTATTGTCCGGTAGTTTTTACATTGAAGCTGATCTCCCTTTTTATGTAGTGGGATAATTACTCCGAAATTAGAGTCTTGTGGCAGTTTTTATTATTCCATATGTTCACTATTAGTTCGTATATCGCATTGAATAGGTGATTTGTTGTTTTTCAGTCTGGTAACTGCGTCTTGCATTTTAGCTACTGAAGAGCGTAACAACAAATTCTTTAGTTGACAGTGGAAAACTTTTTAACTTCTATTTAAGGTGATTTGAAGAGAAGTGTAAGGCGTGATCGATCGATCGATCGTTCAGGTTTCATCTATGTACTAAAGTTGAACTTGTGTAACCTTATAAACGTCACATCTCTATTAATTTATATTTATATAATTATTTCATTTTAATTTCTTTAGTAATTTGTTTATCTTCAGTTTAATTTTTACTATTTTTTATTTAAAAATAGTTGGCGCCCGCTATATTTCTTCCTCTGTTTTCATTTCTTCCTCTGTCATTATTTACTCTCTCTTTCTGTCACGTAGAAAGAATATTCGCCCTCTCTCCTCTCGTCTCATCCTGTGACATCTGTGCTAATTTCATTTTAGTCTCCCACTTTCTGTCAGTTAAATGTTCTAATGTAGTGGTAATATTATTTATTTTTTTGCCTCTTTGATCTTTCTAAAAGAAAACAAAAATTATAATTGGACTCATTTTATGGTCTATAAATTCTCATGGGGTAAGTACTTTCATTTTGATATTTATTCTATAGTTCTAACCGCATTTTCGATATTTGTAACCTTTGTAAGATGGGAAGGAAGTTAAACTCCTCTTGATGTGTCTCTAATGCTCCTATTCCTTTTGTGTTTTAGTATATCGGGAATATACAATTTTATTGGGAATATTCACAATTTTATTGGAAATATTTACATTTTATTGGGCTTATTGACAGCGGTATTGGATTTACTGGGATTATTGACCACATCAGAAAATACAACCACGTGTGACTGCAGCTCTCCGATATAACAACATTCCATTGGAGGACCTAGCAGCTAGAACATACAAGTAGCCCATGGAACGAAGCAATAAGTATAACTTATAAATTGTTAAGCTTTGGCAGCGTTAATTATTGTATTTTTTTTATTCTAAATAAATATGTTTGGTTAAAATTTGTCTTATTTGCTACCTACTGAGAACTCAGGTTCAATCCCTATTTTAAGACAAGATGAACTCATCTTGAAATACTGAGCTAGGCAAGGTACAGACGATAAGGTCCCATGGTTGATTGAAGTATTATTTTTACAATAGTACTTCAATTCTCTTTGGTAGTCTTATCGTTACACTTGTTTTGTCACATTTTTACTTATTGTCTAAAATAAATGCTTTATTTATCTTCATTATAATATTGGTATATTGTCTAGCATATTGGACAGCATTCGATATCAGTTCAGGTATCAATATGAAAAATCATAAAATTTTGATAAAAAGTTTTTACCAAAATAAAACACTTATAACTGATTTATCCACTACCAATAAATTCATAAAAGTTCATTCTTATTCTAACTTAAATTAAATTCAAATTGACTAAATAAAATTAAAAAATTACAAACCCACTCTTTTAATGTTTTTATAAGACGGACTTTTGTCTGTCATCGTGCGGCGAAAATCGAATTTATTTCTTCTAGTTAAATTATCGCATCCTTTTCCACGCTCTTGAGAGAGTGATGCGAAGTCCATTACTGATCGATATAGATACTCTAGTTGCTAATGCTTTTTATAGAAAACTACACTGTTAAAAGTTTAGAAGAATGTTATTTCATTGCGTTAGGCTTTCACGGCCATCGTCTAACTTATTAAACTGTTTATTCGGGCTGTTGGGCCGTTGTCTTCTGTTGAGATTAGTTCTCGACGTTTCGCCAACACTAGGGGTTGGCATCTTCTGGAGATGTTGATGCTTCGCTTGTAAGCAGAAACTGACGACGCGTTGTACTACGGAGGCAATATTTATAATTCCCACTCGCCTCCCTCCACTGGTTTCGGCTTGAGGGGGCGTGTCGTTGTTTATAGTAGCTTTTCTATCTCCGTGTTTGGCGGGAAGGGCGTTTGTGGATTTTAATACTGGTATCCATGTTTTGTTGATTTTTAGTCCTTCTTCTATCCTATTGAAATTGTTTGGGTGCTTGTATATTTCCACCGCTTCCCGATATAACCGTGGGTAGTACTGTGAAGTTTTGTCCAGCATCTGTGTTTCTTCAAATAGTATTCGATGTTCTCCGCTTCCCAAAGCGTGTTCGGCAACGGCAGATTTGTCGATATGTCCTAAACGACAATGGCTTTTATGTTCATTTATCCTGGTGTTGGTGTGTCTTTTTGTGGTTCCCACATATGCCATTCCACATGTGCATGGTATTCGGTATACTCCGGCCGTTGCTAATGGGTCGCGTTTGTCTTTTACCGATCTTAAACAATCCTTGATCTTCTTTGTAGGTCTGAAGATGGTCTTTATGTTGGCTTTCTTGAGTATTCGCCCAATTCTGTCCGTTACCCCCGATATATAGGGCAAGAACGCTTTCCCTTTACATTCTGTTTCTTCGTCCCTTCTTCTAGATACGTTGTTCATCGCCTTGTGTATTTCTCTTCTGGTGTACCCATTAGAGGTGAGCGCTTTTTCAATATAAAGAAGTTCACTTTGGAGATGTTGTGGTTCACAAATTCTCTTCGCCCTCTCTGCCAAAGTTTTGATGATACCTTGTTTTTGGCTAGGATGATGATTTGAGTTCCTGTTTAGGTATCTGTCTGTGTGTGTAGGTTTTCGATACACTTTATGTCCTAAGTGACCTTCCTTTCGATTTACTAATACATCCAGGAACGCTAGTTGTTGAGCTTTTTCTGTTTCCATCGTAAATTGAATATTTGGATGTAGTGTATTTATATAAGCCAGGAAATCGTTTAGTTTTTCTGCTCCGTGACCCCAAATCACAAAGGTGTCATCAACGTATCTGAACCATACGTTCGAACTTCTTACGAACAAATCGATCCATCAGAACAAGTCAAGCCAATAGAATATATACACACATGGAAAAAGCACTATTACGAGAACGAATACATGACACCAGACGAAATTTGGCGAAGGTTGACAAGGAGCTTCTAGATTTGTTTTACGTTTTGAGCAGCAGGTTGAAATATGAAGATTGGAATAAAATTGAATCCATTTGTTACAGGAAAATGGAAAATGAACTAGAAAGGAAGACTGAACGCCAGAAAAACAAATACGAACGCTTAACCAAACATAAGGAGGTAGAATCAAAACAAAACACAGAAAGAACAGTGGTCAATCTTTCAGATAAAGTTTTAACTTCAGCTGAAACATCATTGCTAGCCAAAGGGGGAAATTTTGCGATTGTGCCTAAAGTTATACCCAAAGAAGACATCATCGCTAATATAGAGTCTGCGATCCGCAACTTACCAATCGAAGCAGCTGAAGAAATAAGGACAGAATCAGCAAGAATTTTACATAAAGCTAAGACACCGAAAAATAATTTGAGCCACCAAGAAATATGTGCCATAAAATCGTTAAACGCAGACAAAGATGTTGTAATTTTACCAGCAGACAAGGGAAACGCCACGATCGTAATGAAGACAGCCGACTACAAAACGAAAATACAAAATCTTCTAGATCCTGCGGTTTATAAGAAACTTAAAAAAGATCCCACAGCAGTCACCCTACGGAAAATCAACAGACTTATTAAATCTTCGTCCATACCAGAGGAGATAAAGCCAAGAATATGCAACAGTGAAGCAGTCCCACCACGCTTGTATGGCTTGCCGAAAATACACAAAGACGATGTACCTCTCCGCCCTATTGTGAGCTCCATAGGATCTCCGTCTTACAGCCTTGCAAAACATCTGGCCGATATTTTACAACCACATATAGGAAAAAAACGATGCCTTTGTAAAAGACTCCGCCCATTTTATGAGAAGATCAAAGGAATAACTTTGCAGGAATCTGACATTCTTGTTAGTTTTGATGTGGTTTCCCTATTTACAAGAGTCCCCCTAGAAGACGTTCTGAATTTAATTGAGGGACTAGTTTCCAAGGATATGGTGGAATTATACCGTATTTGCCTAACTACCACATACTTTTCATGGGAAGACCAAATTTATGAACAGATGGATGGAGTAGCAATGGGAAGCCCACTAAGCCCGGTCGTAGCCAACCTTTTCATGGAGCATTTAGAGAAGAAGATAATGGACTCAGCATACAAGCCTAGGGTATGGTTCAGATACGTTGATGACACCTTTGTGATTTGGGGTCACGGAGCAGAAAAACTAAACGATTTCCTGGCTTATATAAATACACTACATCCAAATATTCAATTTACGATGGAAACAGAAAAAGCTCAACAACTAGCGTTCCTGGATGTATTAGTAAATCGAAAGAAAGGTCACTTAGGACATAAAGTGTATCGAAAACCTACACACACAGACAGATACCTAAACAGGAACTCAAATCATCATCCTAGCCAAAAACAAGGTATCATCAAAACTTTGGCAGAGAGGGCGAAGAGAATTTGTGAACCACAACATCTCCAAAGTGAACTTCTTTAT